ATGTGATTACACTCGATGGTGTTGCTGACTTCTCTTAACCTATTCTCATTTTGTATTATTCTTTTTTCTTTTTGCTGTTCAGCTGGTTGCCTTCTGTTACTCTCTCCTCCAGGTCCCTGATCTGTCCTTCTGCCTCCTCTAATCTGTTTATTTTCTCTAGTGTATTTTTCATTTCAGCCATTGAGTTCTTCCTTTTTATATTTTCTTCCTCTTTGTTGAGGTTTCCACTGAGTCCTCCAGTCTTTCCCAAGTCCAATGAGTATCTTTAGGACCATTACTCTGTATTTTCTATTAGGCATGTTGCTTATCTCTGTTTCATTTGCGACATACTTCTCTGTTTCCTCATTTTGTCTGATTCTCCATGTTTGTTTCTATGTGTCAGGTCAGTGATGCTTCCTGGTCATGACACTAGTGGCCTTGTGTAGAAGGGTTCCCATGGTACCCTGGAGCACAATGCCCCCTGGTCACCTGGAGCAGCTGCCTCAGGGGTGGCTCCCGTGTGGGCTGCGTGCACCCTACTGTTGTGGCTGAACCGTATCTGCCTTCAGTCCAGTCATCTGCAATGACGTGTCGTGCCCTCTGTGCTTACACAGGGCAAGGTTCAGTCCCTGTGTTCAGCGGCCTGTATGTGACTGCCACAGGCTTGTAGGTGGGCAGGGTCAGTAGTCAGGCAAACTGTCCCCACTTAGTCATTCTCCCACAGCTGTGGGTGCACCACAGGGCAGGGTTTTTTCCCCTGTGCTGGCGGCTCAAAGCCTGGGCCATTGGAACTGTGGTGTGCTGGTGTGTGTGATTATCTTTTCTCTCCCAGGACAGGAGTCGCTCCGGATGGATGCCGGCTGAGGTGAGCAGGTTGAATGGGATGGGTCTGTAAAGGAATGTGGGACTGGGGCCTTGCAGTGCTGGCAAGATCGGTGCAGGGCTTAGCACTGGCTCCCACAAGTGTCTGGCTCGCCAGGCTGGAAAGGGACGAGAACCAGGGCCTGCCAGCACATTTTTCCGGGGAGAAGTCTCCTGAAGATCCCTTCTTCTCCAGTGCACACTCTGTACATAAATGTCCTTCCCTACACTTTGCAAATCGCTCTTTCTGTGCTGTCTCGGCAGCTTATTTATTATGCTCGTTCTTTAAGGGTGGGGACTCCATTTTCTGTTGCCCTCAGGCTCTTCTGGAATTAAAGTACCTGGACCTAAGCCCAGCTGATTTTAAACACTTGGCCAAGTTAAGCCCCACTGTTTTTCAACGCCGAATGGTACGTATGGATCATCATTTTCCCAGTGGGGTCTCTTCCTGCTTCTCCACGCTTGGGGGATCCTTCCCCATCACAGGAGATTTGGTTCCCCTACTGTGTCTCTGTGCTTCCAGCCCTTTCCAATGTGGGTTCCACTCCATGATTATTGGGGAAGGCTTCTTCCAACCGTCCTCAGGTTGTTTTCGGAGTTAGCTGTACAAATGCAGCTGTTATCTTGGTGTGTTCCTGTGACGAGTTGAGTTCAAGATTCCCCTGATTCTGCTATCTTCCTGACCCCTGGAAATGTTTTTGATTTCCACTCTCCGTTATGTCATCTCAGATGGATTTTAAATAATTACCCTCCACAATATAGTTAGAATCAAAGAGATTGGCCATTTAAGTTACTCTCGGGCTTACAAAACACATCTGCGAAGACACATGACTAGAAGGGAAATGTGCATGATTTGAAAATTCTAGTGTCTGAAAGAATTAAGATATTGGGTAGGAACTATTTACATGTATTTCAAAATTAACACTTGAAATGTTAAATTTCATTATATTATTAAATATATAAAATACCAATATTAATACATAACATCTATATAAATACTAATGTCATATTAACCACTTACATTTTTAAGAAGGTAGTACAGATTCCTAATTCTTTATATTTACCTTCTTTATAACACTTACTGTGTACCAACATATTCCAAAGAATGAAACAGAATTTGTGGAAAACAGAAAGTCACAAACTAGAAGATAAAGCATGATAGCTAATAGAGAATAAAACCAGAGAAATAACTGGAACAATTAAGATTTCTGTGCTAAGTAAAATGATAAAAGATAAATATTTAATAGTCAACCAGTCCTGTTGTATATATGGTATCATTTTATTTTTTATGGGATGATTTTCCTTCTTAGGTTTTTGAAAACAGATGAAAAACTGCTCTGGGTTCCTTTACTATGCTGATGAAAAAAAAAAAGAGGCAGGAAGTGGTCATGTCACTTACTAGGTGAGAGTAGGGGGAGGTCTGTTGCTGTTAGAGACTTCCTATACTAAATCCCTGAGGCTTAGAGGTATTACCTTGTTAGTAAAGAATAGTCACACAAGCCTTTCTTAACTCAAATACTTTCCTTTATGCTTTCAGAATACCTTCTCCCTGCTGCTGTTTTCCTGGGACAGAAAATGAAAACTGAATGAATTGAACAATAGGATTTGTTTTGACTATGGATATTTTCATGTACGCTGTGACTAATAGCCTAATTAGTTTCCTTTTTGTCTTGTCATTTTTTGTTGTCGTTCTTTCTAGCAATTAACCTTTAGGACTTTCAGCCTCAATTTAAACAAATAGTGAGAAAGGTAGTGGCAATATTAATTGGAGCTGAACCACTGGTAGACAAACAATGATTCTGAAGTGATTTTGTATATAATAAATAGTTATACTGCTTTTAATGTTGAGGCTTCAGCCCTTCTGTGTCTTTAAGAAGAAGCGGGCAGCTCTTACTTCTCCAGGTCATGCCTCTTTATATAGCTTCATGTAGTATTAAGCACATTGTGGGGAATTCACCAACTGTGCATCCCAAGGATGATAAAAGGGAAGGAAATTGAATCAATGAAAAAGCATCCTGGGGGCACCTGGTGGCTCAGTCAGCTAAGCACCTGACTTCAGCTCAGGTCATGATCTCACAGTTCATGGGTTTGAGCCCCTGACATCAGGCTCTGTGCTAACAGCTCAGAACCTGGAGCCTGCTTCAGATCCTGTCTCCCTCCCTCTTAAAAGTAAACGTTAAAAAAACAAAAGCATCCTGGGGGTGCCTGGCTGACTCAATCGGCTGAGCATCCAACTCTTGATTTTGGCTTAGGTCATGATCTCATGGGTCTGTGGGACAGAGCCCCATGTCAGGCTGTACACTGACAGTCTGGAGCCTGCTTGGGATTCTCTCCCTCTCTCAAAATAAATAAGAAAACTTGAAAAAATTAAAAAAGCATACAGATGGAAGTAGAGAAAGGACCAACCACTGATACTTTCCCTCTATTCACTACTCCAAAGGTAAACTGCTTACTAGCAACTTGAGTTGGCCTGACAGATCAGAATACATCTCACTCTGAAGCCCGGGCCGGCATGTATGAGCCAACAAAATGCAAATCAAGTGAAAGAGGGAGAAAACATGAAATATTTTCTTTCAAAATATATATTGAAATTTGATTCCTATGCGTGTCTCATGCCCCATTAGTGGACTTGAGATTGACTTGTGTTTTTCTTGCCTGGTTCAAGAAGTTAATAGAAGCTTAAAATAGTTCCTTTCCCTACATGGCTCATTATTGCTTTCATGTTTACTTCCACCTGTACATCTTCTAGTCTAATTACAGCAAATCAGGGAAGATATTTCCAATAAATTAGCGGGTTGAAAGGTCAGGTAGAACCACATTAGGATGAATTAGACATTAACTCATAAATCAGAATGTTAACTTTGTGCAACAGCCTACAAATTATGAGAAGGGGGACTACATCTGTTTTCTCATTGTATCCCCAGCTTCTATCACAATGCCCGGCATATATTCTGTACTCAAACATTACTAAAATAATGTAATCACTAGGATATAATAGCTTAGTGCAGATGTTTATCACATCCCCTTATGCCAATACGATACGATCCCTTCTATGCTAGTTTATCTTAAGAAAGATATCATCAATGTAATAAGACACTGACAAGGTAAAAAGAAATCCACTAGACATACACAAGGAAGGCAATGAGGATAAGAGTTGAAAGGGCAATGTTTCCAAATACAGGAAGTTACCATATGAACACAATTAGGAATGAGACTTTAAAACCAGATAGCTTATTAAAGACCCATTGGTTCTATTCCGGAATATCTACAAAGAAATGGTCAAAAATAGCATGGCTTATGTTACCCAGTGAAGGAGAACATGAGTGAGACGGGAAGAAATGTGAAAAAAGATGTCACAAGTGAACGTTCAAAGGAACAAGAATGACTTTTGAATGTTTGATCATTCATAGGGAATGATTAAAAGCTCATTCACAGGAAAGAAAGTTTTGGTCTTTTTTTTTAAGTAATCATTTAGGATTGGTAATGATCTTCTAGGACATGAATAAATTTTTAGTTTGCTAGTTATATAAATAAGAGATGGAAAATTAATTCTGCATAATTAAAAGAAACAAGCACTAACTTGGCCAACTCTACTTGCCCTAAATGGGCAAAAAATAGGTAAATCTAAATCACATCGTTTAAATGAAATACTGCCTATAAGTGGATTACTTTTTTCCTAACATTATCTAAAGCCTGAAACAGATGGCTGGAAACTTATTAATTTTGGAACCAAGGAGCAGTGTAAAGTCAGAGAAGAAAGTTCCTCGAGAACAACTTCTCAATGTCAGGAAAGGCAGACTGCCCATCTGGACAATGAGCACAGCAATTAAACTGGTAATTAATCCAGATTGCAAGTAGAACGTAACTTTAATTCCCTTCAAGTCACAGCAATGAATTGAAGTCTCAGTAGATAGTAAACTGATTCCAATATTCAAGTTTAAAAAAAGGCCTGTTTCATGTACCTTGCTAGGTACCATTTCCATACTGGACTAAGCCTGAATCATTAGTTACAAATCTAAAATGTGGTTTCATATTTACTAAAGCGTATATGTATAGTGGGTCATATCCCACACTTATTTTCTGAAATAGAAGCATATGTAACACATAAATATGACTTCAATATTTTTAGAGATATGATAGAAATTTCTTAAAATTCCTACCTATCCCTGAGAATGGTCCAGAGCTCTCCACCTAGGCACACTTCCATCAACATATACAAATATTTGCTGTCCTTGAATGTCCTGTACAGTCTGTGAATCGCAAACAAGAAAACAAAGGTTATAAACAAGGCTGTCTTTGAAAAGAATGTAGCGCTTTCAGTGCTCAGATTATAGCCTCATACTTGACTTACCAAGCTTGAAATGTTATTAAAAGAATGAGAGAGATCTGTGTACAAATAGGGCAAAGGAGGCAACAGCGTCCCGAGATGTACACAGTGTAGGGGGCTAGTCTGTCCTTTGCAATAAATGGATTAATCCACATGATTATGGACCAAGATGTCCACTTGGGGTTTCTCTAATCCCAATTTGGTGGGCGCTTTAAGCATGGAACCTTGAGCCCTATTAGTGGTCATAAACATACCGTATACATGGATATAAAGTAGATAGAGTTTACAAATATAGATATGTAGTAAATTCCTATGCTGTTCACTTGCACTCACCCTGTTTTTAATAAGGGCCACTGACAAATTAACGAGAACAGGTTTTTCCGCATATGAAAACTCCCCCATTATCCTTGTTATTAATGCTCCGAAAATTCAGAGATGGGACAGTCACTTCATTTTTTAAGAGCTTCAAGAAATTACACATTACTATTCAAATAATTATAGGTAGCAGAGTTTGATTCTTGATATTTTGCCTTTCGAGCTCCAATGGCCGATGCCGGCTTTTGGAGTCACAGAGAGCACACACATGGAATGTGAGAAACTCAGATATCTCCTTTGGGGGAACTATGTTTCCACAGAATCGGATTCTCTTAAAAAAAAAAAAAAAGGATAGAATCAAACTTCAGGGTTTTTTTTTTTTTTTAAGTCTAGCAAAAAAACTTTCTTAAAATCAGATTGAAAACGACGTGTGCTGCGAGAACGAAGCGTGTAACGTAAGCGCGGGCCACAGTGGGTTTTGTGGCTGAGTCTCTATGGGGAGCACGGGGACAGGGTCTCTACCTCACTATGAAGTCGGAATGAGCCCCCTGCATGATCTGCTTCTCCGAACGAATGTGCTCCTGTTGTCTGGTGTCCACGATGTGGCGTTTCTTGAGAATCTTCATGGCAAACGTCTTGGACTCCTCACTTTTCAGCTGGACCTTAACGACAGGCAGGGAGAGTTCAGTGAGAAAAAGCCCAGGGCATGAATGTAACAGGGTGCCTTCTTATCCCCAAATCACACGGAGCACTTGAGTGACAGCCCAAACCCTGCCCGAGCCACACAGCGCCTCCCAAGGCCGCAAACTACCCTCCAGTCCCCTTCCACGGGACCAGGTGAATTTCAGGGAGATTCTCAACGAGTTTTGTGCCCACTGGATTGGGAGTGGGAAAGTGTCCTGGATGGTCTTCGTGTGATTTTATTTCATATCATGTCATGTGGCTGAGTATACTTTTACAGTATTTCTCCTCCAACCCAAGAAGTAGAAAAACTAAATTCTCCAATTTCCCTTCAGGTGAGTGTGGTAGATGTAGGAACATTCCACCGTTGCCCCCTGGCCCTAGCCAACAAACCTTTCTACAGGTATAATATTCAGGGGCATGGGGGCACCTGGGTGGCTCAGTCGGTTGAGCATCTGACCTCAGCTGAGGTCATGATCTCAGGGCCCATGAGTTCGAGCCCCACATCGGGCTCGCCGCTGTCCGCACAGAGCTGGCTTCAGATCCTCTGTCCTCCTCTCTCTTCCCCTCCCCTGCTTGTGCTCTCCCAAAAGTAAATAAAATAATAACAAATAAAATTCAGCGACAGACCCCTCTCTCTGCTGAGACTGGGGATGAATATACTGTGATTTCTTCTCGTTTTACCTCCTAGTTTTGCCCTTTCCTCCAGTTAAAAAAAAAAAAAAGGTAAAGAAAAAATACAATTTTGTCTTGCAAGAGATTTTGAAAACTTTTTTTTTCTTCTCTGCTCGTATGCAGGATAGCTTTAATCCTGTCTGATCTCGAACCTGACTGCTTGGTTAAACTAACTGAGGAGACCTAGGCTGAGCTCGGATGGCCCCACTGCTTCCATGCCTCTGTCACAGCCCCACGCGGCTCCCGGTGGCTTGCGCTCTTTCCAAATGCCACTCCTCAGACTGGCTGTGGGTCTGTGGTCACTGTTTTACAAAAACAAAAAACAAAAAACTTCAACAAGGTGACTTGGAAGGAAAGTGAGAGAGAATGGAGCTCATCACTTAATAGCAATAGACAAGAGTCATCTAGGGCTGTTGAGCGACAGACTCCTCAAGCCCGCATTCTCTGGAACTAATGAAAGGCTTGGGGGAAATAACGGACAAGCTGTTCCTGCTTTTCAGCTGAAGTATCGCTGTCCCCTCTGGTCGTGAATTGTCTCCCGCTTCATCTGCATGGAAGCGAAATTCTTAAGTGTCCTGTTCATGCACACGTGTACAGATTGGATCCAGTCTGAGAGGGCATGGCCATGGCAAGGGCCTGAGAAGAGAGCCCAAGGACACTTCACATAAATAGGCCCCAGTCCGCTGCCAGCATTTGTGAATCTGCAGGACAGGTTAGAGAGGAAAATGGATATTCAAAAACGCCTTAAGCAGACAAAGGCCGTCTACGCCATCTGTGAAACTCTGGAAGACGGCAGATGAGTGTAATTCAAACGGATTCAGCTGTAGTTCATAATAAAACACAAAATGTGAACTCCCACCTCGAAAAGAAATCTAGACAGCATGAAAAATAAGCTGTGTCAGAGGACTAAAAATCAGAGGAGAAATGAAACCGTATTTTCTCTTTGGGGCCTTAGTTTAGTGACTGAAGACTTTTGTGTCGTTTACGCCCCTGATGTAAACATTATTCATTATTCTTTGTAGTGACAGTGACATACGTTTTTACTTGTGCACAGGGTGGGAGGAGAGGACTCTGCCTTTAGGGTCCCCGGTCTGGACCCGAATCCTGACCTCATTGGGCTGACTGCTTAACAGCTCTGAGCCCCAGTTCTTGCTGAAGATGCCATTGGGCTACGGTACGGAGTTATTGTCGCCTTAAGCGAGAAAGGGCCACCGAGTGAGAAGTCACGGATGGCCTCTCTGCTGTGCCCTTGCCCCACCCAGCAGCCTCTGCCGGATAGGGTACCTCAGGTGTTGTCTGCAAAACAAAGCCAGACCACGTCACTCCTCTGCTCAAAACACCCCAGTGGCTTCCCATTTCGCTCATGAAAGCAAAGCCGTCACAAAGGCCTACAAGGTCCTACACCGTCTGGACCCCACTCTCCCCTTACTCACTGTGCCGGGGTCACACTGGCCCTGAGCACATTAAGCAAGTGCGTGCCCCAGGCTATCTGCACGTGCTGTTCTGCCCTAATATTCTCCCACAGATATTCCCGGGAGGACCCTCTGAGTTCCCGAAGCTCTTTGCTCAAATGATTCCTAATCAGTGTGTCCTCACACCAGCCTATGTCCAAGAGTAACCACCCCCTTCCCTGTGTTATTCTTGTCTATAGCTCTTAGCACAAGCCAATGCACTCAATAGTTTCTTCATTACTTGATGAGTACCTGTGTCCTCTCATTAGACTGTAAGCAACCTGAGATGGGGGATATGTTTTTAAATTCCCTGCCCCTGACACAGAGTAAATGCTTATTAAATATTTGTTGACTGCATGAATCAAAGAAAGAATGCAACAAGCCATGACGATTGATCACTGGCAAAGCCACAACGTGCATCTCTTAGCTTAACAACGGGCACTAGAATGACAAGCACGTAGCATTTTGTCTTTTCCTTCTGTCCCCAAGTGCCCTTAATTATGCATGGAAGGGAAGAAAAGGTTTTTATGTGCCAACACTACACAGGCACTATCCACGGCCAAATAGCTATGTGATTCAGCGTCAAGTTTTCAGTTGTATTTTTACAAGATGTTTTCTTACCCCAACCTTTTCCTTGAATGACCGAGACATGACATTCCCAACCGTAGAGCCTGCTAGATTAATAACACCATCTCTAGGATAATGTCCAGTTGGCTGCCGACAAGCTTGTGGGCTCCATTAGCATCTTGAGACCATGGCCATTACTTAGGGCTCCATTTCCAAGCCTGTACTACTCTTTGGTTCCCTTCCAATGAACAAATTCCATGATCCCTAGTATGTTTACCAATTTTGTTATACCCACACCCAGATGTTTGATTTATTTCACTGTAGCCAGTATACTAGGCAGAAATATTTACCCACTTTTCTATTTGATAGTTTTGAACTGTATATTAGGATGAATCTATGCAGGGAAATAAATGAAGCTCTCGGGGATGTCCAAGAAGAATGGGAACTAACCTTTATAGAGCACATACATGTCCGTGTATGTTATTTTATTTAGTCCTGACGTCAACTCTTCATTGAAAGAGGAAGAGATTTTTGTTTTGTTTTGTTTTTATTTTTTTATTTTTTTAAAATTTTTTTTCAATGTTTTTATTTTTTTTATTTTTGGGACAGAGAGAGACAGAGCATGAACGGGGGAGGAGCAGAGAGGGAGAACACAGAATGGGAAACAGGCTCAGGCTCTGAGCCATCAGCCCAGGAAGAGCCTGATCACGGGAGGTCTGGAGCCTGACGGACCCATGAAGATAAATGACCTAGCTGGGAAGTGCTTTTAACCGACTGCGCCACCCAGGCGCCCCTGTTTTGTTTTGTTTTTAGAAAGACTTCATCATCGATCATAATAGCTAATATTATTAAAGTGCTCATATTAGGTGCCAGGAACGGTGCAATAAATGACTTTTCTCAATCTTCTAGGCAACCCTTTGAGGTACCATTGTCATCCCCATTCTTCAGAGCATCAAACTGAGGAATACCAGAGAGGTTCATAGCTTGACCAAGACCAGGACAGAGATGTCAAGTGGCAGAACTGGCTCCATGCTCTTTTTGGCCCAAGCTATTTCCAGAATATGCTGCTTCCCTTCTGCTGAATATAAAACAAATTGACGGCACAGTGACTGATGCTTTACAAATGAGAGTTTAATGGAAATGGCTAACTCAAACTCAGTTTCCTGTAAGTTTCACTCACACTAGACATGTGGTTTAGGACACCAGCCTGAGCCTCACTGTCCATTTTCTAGGGGATCTCAATATATTCTCAGGGATCTGGGGTACCTGACTGATACAATTTCACAAGGAGAAGCCAAGGGTCGAAGTGTGGGTGGGGGGGGGGTAGATGGGGAGGGAGATGGTGGTAACAGTTGTTGGGTAGCAGGTGGCCAATGAGGGGTACATGTTGGCCTTATTAGTTGCCAGTTTAATAAGTATTAATTATAAGAAGTTTACCGAGCCAAATAGTTAATCTACTGAGGCTTTATGTTTGGTCTCTGCTTGAGTGGAGGCAGTTCTACAGTCCGGAACCACCTTCCTTTGCACTCTGTAAAGACCTTGCCAGCGCCTTAGAGTAGAGCCCTTAGAATTTCCACTTCCATTTCAAACTAGAATGACACACGATTCCCGGGATCTCAGCTCTTCACCAGGAAGTCAGAGAGCTTGAGGAGTATTGGTGGAGGTAACTCAACAAACACAGTCTCTTGTGCTGAGTTAATTCCCTGAAAAAATTTCCCCTGATAAATCAATATGTCTGACTCAACATTGTTTGTAACAGCCAAACACAGTCTCTTTAACAAATGGTGCTGGGAGAACTGGACAGCAACATGCAGAAGGATGAAACTAGACCACTTTCTTACACCATTCACAAAAATAAACTCA